GTACCCCAACACTTTCACTTTCTCTTTCACGCTGCAGAAGGAAGAAGCCATTTGTGCTGAGAGTGACATGGGATGCAGGTTCTGTCCTGAGGGGTCCCAGATGAGGGGTTGCACATCCTGGGGAGATTTTGTCCCACCGGTGACATTACCCAGAGGGGAAGATCCTCTCCTGGGGGATGGTGGTTATGGGCAGGGCCCCTGAACACATTCCCTGAGGAAGTCCCTGTCAAAGGTGTGGTGTGGCACATGCTGAAGACCCCTGTCCTGGCATGGCGGAACCTGCCAACCCCTCTGTCCTCAATGGGGCACTGTGACATCTGGGTGCCCCAACTTTGGGTGTGACCTACATGGTCTGCACCCCCTCATTGACTGCCCCCACCCATTTGGGAGCCCTCAATCCCCATTTGGGAACCCTCAAAGAGGCAGCACCTCACCCCATTCCCCAGACCACCAAGATCATTCTGTGGGGTAGAAACCTCAACAGGGGGGTGGGGGGGGAGGTACGACATGCGCTGGTGTCAGTTAGGGAGGACACAGACATCCCAAAACATCTAAAGGCTGTCCCCACACCCAAAATCCCTGCAGGGCATCAGTGCTGGGAACCAGGAGATGGATGAGACCCTCTATATGAAACATTTGTGAAGCTGTTGGGGGCTGCCCCCTCCCTCTCCTGCTCCCCATAATCCCCTTCATGGGGTTTCTTTACTGGGGGAGTGGGATGATTTGGGTTTATTTGGTTTGGGGAGAAATCCTGTTCCAGACTTCTCCATTCTTGCTCATCCCCTGCAGGATCTGAGCCAGTAAGAGTGCGAAAAATGCATATTTTATGATTGGCTTTTTGCAAATATTAAAATTAATATTATATGTGTTATGTCAGAAAGTTATGCTGTATTAATTTTCTTAAGTAGTGTGTTAAATATAGTTTTAGGTTATAACATAATATTAAAATAGGAACTATGCTGTGTTTCAGATACTTTTTTTAAAGAGAGGAATGAGGTACTCGCAGTGAGATAGCAGCCACAGGACACCTAAAGCTTTCAGAGAAAAAGAATTTATTGCTCTCTTATCAGAAGAAACTATCTTCTTCCAGCCTCGATCAGCCCTGAGGATGCCATCAAGATTAAGATGAAGTTGACACTGACCAGAGAGAATCCCTTGTTTCAATGGAAGTTATGCACCATGTATGAGATTTATGAATATGCAACAGGCTATTGCTTTTAAGAGTTAATCCTCTGTTAATGTGTGTCCTTTTTCAGACTAATTTTGCCCAGAAAAAGGTACCCAGATCATCCCTAACTCTTTGGTTTTTTCCTCCTATTTTCAATTCTTGAAATCTATGTCACTATACTGCATAGTACATGCTCCACTTGTTTATAAGGGGTCTTCTTGGCTTTTCAGTGGTTGCTTCCAACAAAGGCTTATCATCATCATCACTGTCCTTTGAACAACCCCACAGGTTGCACATGTGCCCCAAGTCTTGTGTTACGTAAGTAAGCATTATGTTCCAAATAAGCTTTATTATTTAATAGATAAAATTACTATTTCAGATTCCATATTGAGAATTGCCCCACACTGGATCATCCCAAGGCTGCTTCTCCATTGGGAGTCTTCCCAACTTTTTTCGTCCCAAGGACAATTCTGTTTTGGGATATTGCTAATCTCAATACTCCATCCTGTATCCTATTTTCTCATGAACATCGGAAAACATCTGTTTTGCGACACTAATTACATATCCTTTTCCTCTATTATTTTTTAGCAAATATTTTCTAAAATATCAATATAGCTACAATTGTTAGCATAAATCATATTCATTTATCACATAGGGAACCAGGGTGTCACAGAAGGAGCAGGGAGTGCCCAAGCAGGGGAATTCAGGGCAGGCTGGACTGGATTCACCTGGGAATCACACCCTGAGGCACACACAGGCATTTTCACAGATTCCTATGCACTGTCCCAAGGATGGACAGAGCTTCTCCCCTTCCTCCGTGGGAAGTCAATCAAGTTTCAGGGTGGGAATTAGAAAAATGGAAAGTGTTCCTAAATACAGAAAAGGCTTCCTTATGGGCTGGGTTTCTCCCCAGCAGGCAGAGAACAATCCCATGGAGCTGCTGGACACTCAAGGAGATTCCACACTCTGTGTTATCCACAAGCACGTGCTGCTGTGAGATGCACCAATGGGCTCATAAAGGGAACCAAGAAGTCTCATTTCATTGTGATTTGTTTGTGTTTTTATTGTGAGTGACATGTAAGGAAAGCAATGATTCAAAGGATTCTATAAACCAGAGCATTTTATGCCTTGTCAGTTTGATTTTTGCTGAGTTTGTTTTTTATTGGGAAAAAAAATGGAGTGGGAAAAGATTTTTGCCTTTATTCTATGGAAGTGTAATTTTATCTCAGCCAGTTGGGCCTCAGGTGTTCCCTGGGATGGCTGAGCCATAAAATGGGGGAGGGGACAGGAAAAAGCCCAGGGGTATGTGGGGCAGTGACCCGGAGCCTCCCAGGACAGCCCTGGGGTGCCCCAGGGTGGGCACTGTGCTGGGCTCTGAGTCACCCCAAAATCTGAGGCACCCAGGGAAGGAGCTGTAACCCAGCCACTGCCCATCCCTGGCACCTCCATTCCCTTAGCAACCCAACCACGGGACCCCCATTGCCTTGGTCCTTCGTCCCTGAGGACCCCAATCCCAGGACTGCCATTGCCCAGGACCACCATTGCCCTGATCCCATCCCATGGGCTACTTCTTCTCCCAGAACCCCTATTCCCAAGGGTCCCCTTTTCCCCCAGCACCCTCAACCATGGCAGCCACATTCCATGACCGGAAATCCCTGGGGATCATGTTCCCACAGCACCCTATCCCTAAATCCCCCCTGGCACAGAGACCCCAATTCGCCTGGACCCTCATTCTCATGGACACCCATCCCTGGTTCTCCACATCCCCTGAGTTCCCCACTCTTGGCAACAGCATCCCTCACCATGTCCACAGACTATCCCATAATGTCCCCATCCTCTCCCTAGCTTGTGGCCACCCTGCCCCCATCAAGGGCAAGGGCCACCCACACATGAGGACAAGATGTGGTCTCGCTTCCTTCCTCTTCATCCAAAGAACCGCCAGTCAGGGAAGCGATGGCCACAGCAGCAAGTAACAGCCAGTCCACATGGCTGGGGACACTGGGATGGCCAGGAGGGTGACACTGCTCCTGTGGGGTGAGTACTCCAGGCATGGGCCTGACAGCCCCGGGGATGGGCCCTGGAGACCGGTGGGGAGGATGCACAGGGGGGGCTGCGTGGTCCCCTGAGGTTCCCGATGCCAGCAGAGCCAGTGCATGGGCATGGACTGTAGTGAGACCAGAATTGTAGGGTGGCCGTAGGGACAGGAACAGGGGACAGGAACAGTGGAACTGGGATTCAGGGACAGGGACAAGGGCCACGTACCATGCAGATGGGCCATGGGGACAGGTGCCATTGGAATGGGATCATGGGCACAGGGCCATGGGGATGTGACTGTGGGGACAGGGGCGGCAGGGCTGGGGGAGGTGAGCCGTCACAAACATGGGGTGTCCACAGAGTCCCCATGTCCTGCCTCAGCCCAGGGTGACCAAGGTGTCCCTGTCCTCAGGATCTCCGTGCTCCACCAGTGTTCCCATGGGGACAGTTTGGGGACAGCCCCCACACCTTGTCCCCCAGGTGCTGCTGTCCCCACAGTGCCACCCAGCCCTGTCTCTTCTCCCTTCCAACCCAGACCTTCAGTCTCGCTGGTGAGTCCTCAGGGGATGCCATGTCCCCATCCCACTGTCCCCAGTCCTGCTGTAGCCCTGCCAGGCTGGTGTCCTCTGCCATCTGCAGGTGCCCAGACCACCCAGCTCCTCGTGGAGCCCCCCTGGAGGCTGGCGGTGCTGTGGACTGGGTGACACTGACCTGCCAGTGCTCAGGGACTGACGGTACTGCCACCTGGTACAAGGATAGGCGGCACTGGTGGCAGGAGGGACCCAACACTACTACTTGTCACCCACATTGGCACCTACATGTGTGATAGATCAGGTAGCAGGCACAGCCCCCCTTTGATGGTCTTAGATGGTGAGGGAGTTTTGGGTGTCCCCAGCCTGACACTCGCAGGGACCCCGATATCTCTGGGTGGGATCCACTCCATGGGTCACCCCCTTGGTGTGACCAGAGCCTGTCCCCTGCACACAGGCACATCCCAGAGCATCTCAGTGTGAGGTGACCCTGCTTGTGGAATTCAGGACCCCAGGTGCACTGCGTGTAACTCAATGGCGGGTACCGCTGACATTGGAACCCACCAGACCCCTGTGATGTGACGGTACCCCTCTGCCCCTCAGACCACCTGGTGCTGCAGGTACTGCCAGGGGCACTGCTGGAGGCAGACACGGTGACACTGTGCTGCCAGGGCTAGCAGAACAGCACAGTCAGCTTGGTGACATTCTACTGCAAGAAGAAGCAACCAGGGGTCTCCGCGATGCATCCAAGAAGAGTTTGAAACAGGGGAAAGGAGAACCCAGAGCCTCCTGAAGGCCACTTTGGCCATCAGACCAAGGAAGGTCTGGGGCCTGCCAGGTTCTTCCTGGTGGAGGAAATGTGCCAGGGGCAGCTTCTGGGGTTTGTTCCTTTTTGGGGGCTTTCTCTGGAAATTGTTCCTTTTGTCATCCTTTGAATTCTGAATCTTGAGAATTTAGAAGGATTGGTTCAACAACTTGAATGGGACCCTCCTCCTTCCTGAGCCGAAGAGGGCAGAGCTGAACAAACAAAAAATCATTTTTCCTGGATTAATTAAAAAGCTGCATTTTGAGTCCAGTAAGAAGGACAAGGGTGCTGTGGCCCCTGGCACTGGGGGAGGGAATGTGGAGTCCCTGGGGGTACTGGGAGCACCGGGAGAACTGGAACAGGGAGCTATCGGCAGCTGGGCAGCCCCACATGGGAGCCCCCACTCGTGGCCTCCCCCCGGCACAGTGGGCACCCTTGGGAACTGGGGGGGTGCCCTTAGGCAGGGACCCCAGTGCCCCCAGTTCCCCCAGTGTCACAGCACGTTCTCAGAGATGTCACTGGGGTCCCGCTGCCTCCTGTGGGGTCGTGGCAGCTCCGCGTAGGTCACTTGGGGGGATGTGGTGCGGGGGGGCCCTGTGAGAGACAACAGTTGTGGGAACCTGGGTGGAGGGTGACACCCGTGGGTGATGTGCCCCTGTGTCCCCCCTGTACTCACCACCTGCCTTCTTGGTGCTCACGACATCACTGTACAGCACCTCCCCCACCTCTGGAGGGGCCAAGGGCTCTGGGGGGGCCCTGCAGCGATAAGGGGTGTCTGTGAGCATGGGGGGATTTTGTGGTGGGGGTAAAATGGGGGTTCGGGCCTGGAATCCCCCACTCACCGTTCTTGCTGCTTCCTGAGGGCTGCAAAGGAAAGGCATGAGGGGTGACTGTGGGGTCCTCAGGGCCTCTGGACACCATCAGGACCCCTGACTGTCCCCGGGACCCTCGAGCATCCCTGAAACCCTCAAAATGCCTTGAACCACTGAGACCCCAGAGTCCCCAAACTCCCCCAAAAAACCCCTGACAGAACCCCCAACTTCTCTGCACAACCCTCCAATACCTCTCCAAATCCCCCAGGACGCCCAGCCAAGGTCTCTGGGGGCTCAGCTTCACCCAAGTCAGGAGCTGTTGGTGCCACCCTATGGCTCCGGTACTCTGGGGATCTTTACCCCAATCCCTGGGACCCCCATCCCCCTTCATTGTCACCCACCCCGATGGTGCCACTGGTACCAGCCCCCAATGACAGCCAGGAGCAGGAGCAGGAACAGCAAGGACCCGCTGAGCCCTGCAGCTACTGCTGGGAACAGAGAGGGACAAATCAGTATCACCCTGAAGCCCAGGGGTCCTGCACCCCCTGTGTGACCCCATGTGACCCCACCTGTACCCCAATGTCCCCGCAGTGTCACAGACAGGACCAGCTCTGGGCTGAGTGCCCGGAACACGCGGTGCCCATCCAGCTGGTTGGTGGCCACGCACTGGTAGGTGCCTGAATGTCCCGCATCAACAGCTCCAAGCTCCAGGAGGGGACCCTGGGCTACCTCCTGCCTGTTGTGCAGCCAGGTGAAGGTGACAGGGGCTGAGCCCACCTGCACCGAGCAGCGCAGGGTCACGGGGTCACCTATATGCACCTGGTGTGCCAGGGGACCGGGGGTGATGGTGGCATTGGCCACAGGCACTGTAGGGACAGAGACAAGACTGGCACATGGTGAGGTGGGATGGGGATGCTGTGGTTGGGGTCATCCCCCAGCCCGAGGTTCCCGCTTGCCCAGGATGGTGATATTCAGGGGGACACTCTCAGGCACGCTGTATCCATTGCTGACCCGGCACTGGTACTTGTTGCTGTCATTGTCCCAAGTGTGGCACAGCTCCAGGTGGGGGCTGGTGACCAGGAGAAGGACAGGAGACCTGTCCCCATGGCCACTGCCAAGCTCAGCACCAGGCAGGCCCCCAGTGCCACCTGTCCCCTGGGGGGCTGCGCCTACAGGGACACCCCCAAGGGCGGGACCCTTGCGGGAGAAGATGACAGCAGGGGACAGGGTGGGGGAGGGATGGGTGACGGGAAGTGGGACCCCAGTGAGGAAAAGAGGGTGCAGAGATAGGAGGGGGACTTGGAACAGGACCCCAAGAAAGGATGGAATTGTTCAGGAGGGGACACCTGGAAAGGAAGATGGGGAGACCCCAGGAAAGGTATATAGAGCTAGGGAGGGAATGGTGGACTATGTGGGGAGATCAGAGATGGTTGTGATTGAATCAGGGACAGAGGAAGGGACACCAGTGAGGAACGGGGAGACACGGAGGGCAACCCCAGCAGTAATGGGGGGGCATGGAAAAAGTTTACCGGGAAGATGGGGGTACCCACATACGGCTGGGGGATCCAGTGAGGTACCTGGGAAAGGATGGGGAACCTGGGCACTAATGGGGATCTCCAGACAGGGCAGGGGAACCCAAGGAGGCTATGGCAGGTCCCCAAGCCCATCCCCGCACTCACTGCGCACCATGACGCGGAGCCAGGCGCTGCTCTTCCACACCTCCCCCACCTTGGACCGCACCTGGCAGCTGTAATTCCCCGAGTGGGAGACCCCCACGGCGGGCACCACCAGCTGCGGGGACCCCTGCGGGCCCCCCACCACCTGCCTGTCACGGTAGAACATGTGCAGGAGGGGGGCTTGGGGCCGCAGGGTGCTGGGGGTGCTGAGGCAGCTGAGATTCAGGGGGGATCCCACATTGGGCTCGGTGGGACCCTCCAGCACTGGCACTGTGAAGAGTTCTGAGAAGGAGAGGGGAGGGAGATTTGTGAGCCCGAGTCCCAGGGGAGAGGCTGTGGGGGTGTCAGGGTGGCAGCTCTGTGGTTCTCACCGTGCACTGTCACTGTCACTGGCGCTGAGAGCGCCCACGGTGCCACCTTGGAGTCCACCCAGCCGCCGCAGCTGTAGCGGCCGCTGTGGTGCAGCTGCAGAGGGGACAAGGACAGCTCGGTCCCGTTGAGGGACCTCCCCACCTCCTTGTCCCCATGGTAGAATCGCACCCCAGTGACCGACATGTTCTCCTGGCCCTGGCAGCGCAGTGTCACCGTATCCCCCTCCAGCAGCTCCCGCGCCGGCACCTGCAGCACCAGCCTAGCTGCAGGACACAGGAGTCTTAGGACATCCAGGGCATTCCATTTTCACAAGGACCCCCGAACTGGAATACATCCAGTGCACCAGGCCTCCCAGAATCCAGAACTGGGATCCCTCCACTCTGAAATGCTCTGGGATGTCCCCGTGTGCAGGTCATGGGTGCTAGTCACACCAGGATGTTACCCATCGAGCAGACCCCACCCAGAGCTTCTGGGGTCCCTACGGGTGCCAGGCTGGAGACAACCAAACCCCCCTCACCATTTAAGACTCTCACAGGGGGGCTGCGCCCAGTGCTGAGTCTGTTACACTCATAGGTGCCGCTCTCAGTGACAGTGAAGTGGTCGTGTCTCTCCTGCCCCCAGAGCTGCCCGTCCTTGTACCAGGTGGTGGCATCATCAGTCCCTGAGCCCTGGCAGGTCAATGTCACCGGGTCCCACAGCACCGCCGGCCTCCAGGGGGGCTCCACCAGGAGCTGGGTGGTCTGGGCACCTGTGGGTGATAGGGGACGCCAGCCTGCCAGGGGACACCAGCCTGCCAGGGCCAGAGTAGGGCTAGGGACAGCAGGCTGGGGACTTGGCATCCCCAAGGACTCACCAGTGAGGCTGAGGGTCTGGGCTGGAAGGGAGAAGGAACAGGGCTCAGTGGGGGTGACACTACGAGGACAGAGACACCCGGGGTACAGGGTGTGGGTGCTGTCGCCAAACTGTCCCCAAGGGGACAGCAGTTCTTGTGGGAAAGTGTGTGGGGGTGCTCCCCAAAAGATTTTGAGAGGCTAGGGGATATGTCTGTGTCACAGCCACCCATGCACGACATCTGTGTGGCACAGACACCTTGGGATCAGGGACACTGAAGCCACCCTGGGCTGAGACAGAACATGGGGACACTGTGGACATCCTAGACACAAGGACACCAGAGACACATCCCATGCTGGCCCAGATCACCCCCACCAGATCATGATCCCATCCCTATGGCCACACCCTCATGGTTCTTGTCCCCTTCTGTCCCTGAATCCCAATTCCCATGTCCCTATCCCCAGAGCTACCCGAGCCCAACGGTGCCAGTCCCCACATTCCTGTCCCCACACCCCAATCCCCAAATTCCTGCCCCCCTGTTCCTGTCTTCAAAGCCACCCTACACCAGTCACAGTCCCACCAAGGTCCACTGTGGGAAACATGGACTGGCACTGCTGACCTTGGGGACGTCAGGTGACCCCATAGCCCTCCTGTGCCCCCTCCTCACCGGTCTTTGCCTTACTAGGGCCCATTCCCAGGGTGTCAGGCCCCTGCTCAGTGCACTCACCCCACAAGAGCAGTGTCACCCTCCTGGCCATCCCGGTGTCCCCAGCCATGTGGACTGGCTGTCACTCGCTGCTGTGGCCACCGCTCCCCTGGCTGGTGGCTCTTTGGCCAAAGGGGAAGGAAGCGAGATCACGTCTCGTCCCCATGCGTAGGTGGCCCTTGGTGGGGGCAGGGTGGCCACAAGCTGGGCACAGTCTGGGGACTAGGGGGGGTGGGACGAAGTAGGACATGGGGTTCCCACGAGTGTGGGCTCAGTGGGTTTGGAGTGCCAGGGATGGGTGTTCAGGGGAATGGGGGTGCTGAGGAGGGGGAGTCACTGGGAATGGGGTCCCCAGGGCTGGGGGGACTCAGGGATGGGAATGGTAGGGGAATGTGGGCTCCAGGGATTTGGGATCAGGGGATGGGGGTCCTCAAAATGAGGGTGCTGGGGGAAAGGGGTCCAGGGAGAATCAAGGTCCTGAGGGAAAGGGGATTGCAGGTGATGGAATGAACAGGAGAGGGTTCCTTGGGAAGGGGATGCTGGGTCATGGAGATCCTGGGAAATGTCAGTACTGGGATGGGGGTTCCAGGGATGGGTGTATATAAGGAGTGGGGATCCCATGGTTGGGTTTCCAGGGGAATGGGTGTGCCAGTGATGGGCAGTTGCTGGATGGGCACAGCGGTCTCAGCTCCTTCCCAGGGTGCCTCAGATTTGGAGGTGACCCAGGGCCCAGCATTGCCCCTACGAGGTGCTTGCTTCCTGTGCAGGCATCACATGGGGGTGACATGGGAAGCTCTGCTTCTGTGTCCTCCCCTGCCCTTGACTTTTTCCTCTCTTAATTTCTCTTTTTTCTTTACTTTCCTCACTTTTGTGCCTTGTCCCCTCCTGTCTCAGCAATCCCAGGGAGCACCTGAGCAGGGGATGGGTTGGGAGGACCCAGGGGAGGGGGGACATGGGGAGTGAGGGTGCAGGGAAGGGTGGGGACCATTTGGGTGATAGAGGTGTCAGGCTGTGCCCCTTCAATACTTTCACTTTCTTTTTCCTGGACAAGAAGGAAGAGGCCGTTTGTAGTGAGAGTCAGATTGCAAAGTGGGGGATCTGTCCTGGGGGACCACATCGCGGGGGTCCTGTCCTAGGGGGATCCTGTCCCAGGGAGTGACACATCCTGACATGGGGGATTCCAGTCCCAGGTGTGGCAGTTCTAGAAATCTGGAAATATCTCTGCACATTCCAGGTAAGGTGCCTGTCCCAGGGGTGGCACATCATGGAGACGCCTGTCAATCCAAGTGTGGGGCCCAGCCCCACTGCACAGGGATGGCCATTGGCCAGACTTGCTCTGGCCAGCTCCAGGTGACAGCTAGGAACTGAGGAAGAGGGTTTGGGTTTGGGCTGTTGCCACCAGACAAGAGGGAAAAGTGTGGAAATATCAAGCATTGGCTCTGCTCCGTGGCTGTTGTAGGGCTGTCGAGAGTGACTCTGTCAGTGGCTCTGCGAGAGCCTTTGGTGGTTTTCAGAGCAGGGCTGGCTGGAAACCACCTCTGCATTGGCAGCTCTGTGGGAACCAGTTCAGAAATGCAGCAATTGATCATTTGTTCCTCTTGGTAAGGGACAGAGAGAGACCCAGAACTGCTGCAAAGACAACAACAATCTGCTCAACAACCAGACTGGGACCCTCCTCCTTGAACAAAACCTGCAGTCTTCTGGAACCTCATGGAAAGAGGGTTTGGGTTTGGGCTGTGGCCACCAGACAAGAGGGAAAAGTGTGGAAATATCAAGCATTGGCTCTGCTCCGTGGCTGTTGTAGGGCTGTCGAGAGTGACTCTGTCGGGATTCCAGGTGTCCCCAAAGCTGCTCCATCCCTGCCTTCCTCACCTGAGTGAAAGGGTGAGGATTTGCAGGAATTGTGGTGTAAATCCACCAGAGGGGCTGTTGTGGACCTGAGACCGGCCTAGGGTCAGGTGCTGCCTTCCTTCCATTCGGGATCATGGAGAGCAGTTGTGGGCGCTGGGCAGGGCATATGCTGGGCCCCGTGACACTGCTATGCTGGCTTTGGGCACTAGGATCCAACCTGCTGCCTTCACGGATTCTGCCCACTGCCAGTGGTGGTGCAGGGACTCTTTGGGCACTAGGATCCAACCTGCTGCCTTCACGGATTCTGCCCACTGCCAGTGGTGGTGCCAGGACTGATTGGTGCCCGAGAGTTTGCAAAAGGAGCAATTTCCCCTACTCCCCCTGGTCCGAGGCCGCCATGGCCCCTGAGGGGATCGAGCTCGACCGGGGCGCCCCCTGCTGGCCGGGAGCGCTCCCTGCAGCGCCCCCTGCTGGCCGCGGTTATAACTGCCACACAAACCAACAGCGCTGAGCGGGAGGGAAAGTTCTGGTTTTGTGTTGTTTGTTTTGTTCTGGTTTATAAATTTCCCAGTAAAAACCTGTTATTCCTTTTCCTACAGTTTCATCTGGAAGTCCCATCATTTCTGAAATTAAGGTTTTGTTCTGGTTTATAAATTTCCCAGTAAAAACCTGTTATTCCTTTTCCTACAGTTTCATCTGGAAGCCCCATCATTTCTGAAATTAAAAAAGTTTTACACATGAGTCTTCTTTCTATTCCAGGAAAGTTCCCATTTTCCTTTGACAGATATTTATCATTTAAACAAGTTGCCAACCACTAGGTTCCAGCGTGGAGACACCCCAAGAAGAAACAGGGTCAGGGACTTGGCCACCTCCTACTCAGCCTTTTAAGCCAGTTGGGCCACCATGGGCTCTCTCCCCAGGTGGCACTTCTGGTCACCCAGCCACACAGGAGCTGGCTTTGGCAGAGCATCACACTGTCCCCAGTCTGCCATGGCTGACACAATGATGGACAGACGGGGCCCTGTCTCACCAAAAGCAAAGCCTGATCCAACCCTGCCACACACAGGTGTTCCAAAATGTCTCCAGATGTCAAACGTTTCCTGTGTCTGACACCCCACTGTGTCCCATGGCCTGATCCTGACTGCCCTGGCAATGGGGGAGGCTCCAGAACCCCCACAAGGCCTTTGTGACATCCTCATGTGGGGAACACAACAGAGGAGCAGTTTGGGACAGGGGACAAGACATTGCAGAGCCTCCTGAAGGCCACTTTGGCCACCAGAGCAAGAAAGGTCCAGGGCCCTGCCAGATTCCTCTGGTGGAGGAATCGTGCTGGGGGAAATGTCTGGGATTTGTTCCTTTTAGGAGCCTTTTCCCGGAAATTATTCCTTGTTTGACCGTTGGGACTCTGGACCTTGTTGCTGTTGGTTTTATTCTGTCTGATTGCTGTTTCAGGAAATTGTTCTTCTCTCAGCCCTTTGGGATCTTTGTGCTTCCACAGGGAGGGACAGGGGCAGGTTTTAGTGGCAGCACACAGATGTGTGGGTGCCCATGGGTGAGGACCCCCAGTGCCCCCCAGTCCCCCCCAGTGTCACAGCACGTTCCTGTAGATGTCTCCAAGTTCCCGTGGTCACTCGATGTGTCCCCGCAGCTCCGTGTAAGTCACCTGGAGATCCTGGAGTGTGGTGGCACAGGAGATCTTTGTGCTTCCACAGGGAGGGACAGGAGCAGGTTTTAGTGGCAGCACACAGGTGTGTGGGTGCCCATGGGCGAGGACCCCCAGTGCCCCCCAGTCCCCCCCAGTGTCACAGCACATTCCCG